TGCAGAGATGATGCTGCATTTTTAAGAGATGATAAATGAATTATCCATTCCTGAAACAGCTCTCCAAAACTCTCCAGACATGGCTACTTTTGCCACATCATCACTACATCATAAGAAGGTAACTATTGTATGTCAACAGACAGGCTTTGCTCTGCAAAAGCAAGGACTAAGAAAAGCACACATCAACATCAATTTTATAAGGAACAATTCCAATGAAATTTCAGATATTTTGTCTTTTTGCATATTTTAGTCATTTCTGAAACTGGACCACAGATAATTTAGAAAAGGTAATATAACATGTTTAAACAAGATTCATTCTGTAAAGGTGTTAAAAATATTTGCTGGGCTTCAGAATATATTAAATAAGGTATCGAAGAAAGGTTCATTTTGACTGGTAATCGGTTACATTTTACTTTGAAATCTTGTTACAAAGCTAAATAAGAATTAAAAGAAGAAATATAGAATAAATAAAATGAAAGAATAAATGATAGTAAAAATTATTACAAGAAATGAAAGGAAATAAAAAGGAAAAGAAATAAAGCTAATTACACTCAGGCTTCCAAAGAAAGATGGAAATCTTATGGTTACTCAGTGCTTAATGTTATCTTATCTAATTTAACAACAGGGCATAAAATTATGAATAATAAAAGCTGCCCATTTAAATTGCATAGTGTAGATATAAAACAGACAGAAAACTGAAAAAAACTTTGTAAAATTAAAACCACCTGGCATTGATAATTTTGACTGTAAGCTTCTTAAACTGGTTGCTCCTGCTGTTTGTTACATAATCAAAGTCTATTGTAGATTGTTTGTCTAGAAAAATAAAAAAGATACTTAAATAAAGAAAGCAAACAGAACAACAGCAAGCGTTCAACAATGACCTCAAAATTATTCCTTCCTAGCTTTTCTGAAGGCAAAGTCACTGATGACATCATTGTATGGTATTGCTCGCTCAACTTTGCTATTAATACTAATGACTGCGAGTCCACTTAGTCTTTCCTGGGCCTTTGATGATCTAAAGAATGTTTTAATCAATTTGACCTTGGAAAAGCTCCTCTCTGCTGAGGCAGCTGTCACAGGCAGCTATCCTGAGATCTACCCAAACATCTGGGTAAAACCCATACAGCTCATTTTGTGAGAGATATGTGAGAAGCTCAAAGGCAGTCTTCATAGTTTGGTTAATCACCAGGGGGCCCAAGCAGCCGCTTAGTTCGCTTATGCCTCCGGCTGGCCCTGATTATCTGTA